AGTACGCATCAGGTAGTTCCAACGATGCTTGACTCCATGGGTGAATGCAGCAAAGGCCGCATGTGGCTCTGTGTTAGCAATCTCAGACAGAGCTTGGTTTTCACTAACCCACTCATTCACCTTTCCCGCTACGTACTCGGTCTTGAAGTCCGTAGTGCCAATTACTGCGCCTAGATGTCTTTGGCCGTCCTTAGTTATTTTGGCCTCAATTCCGCCAAAAACCTCCAATGCCCGTTCATAATGCTCTGGCTTCACTACTACTACTACTACTACTACTACTACTACTATTATTTATATATTGTCCTCCAAACCCCATTATAGTCACATCCACCATGTTATTACCAAACTATCCTAATACAAAAGTATCAACCCTAGCTGAGTTAGTTATGCCACAGATACATGCAGCATTCAGTGACTGTTGCCTCATAGTTTGTCAGCCTTTTCTCAGTCGTCCGGGAGCTAGCTCCCGGACGACTGAGAAATGATTGCATCATGTCTGCGACTGTTGTTGGTTTAGGGGACGAAAATCTTGTTCCTCTGAGATAAAGCAGAGAAAACTTTAGCAGAGAGAAGGGTAGGCACACCTCTCCCGGGCCATGATATAACCTCTTTGTTGCTGCCTCTGTTCTGATAAGAACTCGGGTAGTCTGACGTAGAAGCAGTTTGCACTATATGTCCCATCCCGCCCGATGTTGTAAACACCAGCGGAGTGAAACTGTCCTTTGTTCACGTTCTGGATTATCTGTGCTTATGCTCTGTTCTTGTCGTTCTCGTTCCTCCTATGTGCAGCATCCAGAGACAAATCATGGTGACATTTGGCCAAGGGATTGAATATCCTGATATTCTTAATAAAATTAAAAACAAAAACAACCAAAATGAATAAACAACGGGTCATTTGGATTACCATATACTGTAGGATGTTGATGGTAGAATATAACCATGGCCAGTATTGTGTTTATATTATTGTTCTTAAGTTGTGTATTTGTCTGTCTGTTTATTAATGTAGGTGTTATTATCATCTGTATATTGTCTGTTGTTTTGTATACTGTAATTTGAGTTCCAGTGTTTTATGTTCACTCGGTAAAAGATTATTGTGCACCTTTACGGGGCTATACAATATGACACACTGGACCAAGAAATCTGCTAACACTCATCGCGGCTTCTATCTCGGTGATCGTTGTGGATGGTTTCAGAGCCAAGGGTGCAGAATATTTGTCTAGTGAGTGTACCTAGTCCTCGGTAATGATCACTCACTATTATCATTATATCATCACTGTTATTATGGAGTTATATATTCAGGGATGTCTGGCACGTTGGGTACTGGGTTTTCTGGCTTGGGGAAAGGGTAGTCGTGGAGTGAGTGAGTCAAACAAGGGGTCAGTGGGTACATTACAGTCACCGCCACACTGAACTGTCACTCTCATTCACTAATTATAATACAGCAACGTGCTCAACTCTCATTATTATTTAGGTCATTACAGAAGCAGGTCACTTAAGGTCACCTGAACACCTTGTTTAGTCAGGGTTCGAAAACTTTGAGAGAGAGAGAGAGAGAGAGAGAGAGAGAGAGAGAGAGAGAGAGACTTTAATTTAACAGGACCAGAGACATGACAGAAACGAGAACAGGAAGACTGGTTTCTTGATGTCCTTTATATACTGTTTATTTTTCTTCTCTCTTTTATTTTATCTTCTGGAGAATGAGAAGGTGGGAGGGTGTGAAGAGGGGGGGGGGGAACTGAACAGAATAATGGATAAAAAGAGACCATTATATTGTATTACGTAAGTTTCATCAGTTCATATCTCTTTTTATAAATGTCAGATGAATCAACAACCATAAAACAACACACAAATAAAACGGTATATATTTCCTAAACCACAAACGACTGAAAAAAGCCGAAATCGTCTATGGTTTTTTAGTTCGCAAATCGACTATGAACCCAACGTAGAGGCGGCTCTCACTCAAGTGTATCATGGCACTCCAGATCCAGACCGTCGTAAAAAGTGGTCAGGGTTGTGGCATTGGCTGGCTGAGTTGGTATATAACAGCGTGCAGCCGCCACTTGGAACACATCCTCTGCTGTTAACCTCCCAGCACACAACCATCTGAGACAATGGTGAGTATTGTGACGTGTTTCTTATCTGTTGTTGTTGTGTTGAAGATTTTTATGTCCTGAATCACTGTCATATCTGACACCCAGAATGTCCCACATAGGGCATACATAGTGTTAGGATGTTTGGTTATGCATCAAATTACAACAAAAGTGACAGCTCACGTGGCCAGCACTGTCCCCTAATTTGTGGCACCTGATTTTTTCCTCTGGGAGAGACTGTACCTGAAAAGTAAAGTCTACTGCCACAGACCTGCAAACTTGGGGAGCTAAAAGCGAACATTAGGCAGTACATTGATGACAACACAGCAGACACCCTCCGAGCTGTCATGAACAATGTACCGGCTCGATGCTGCGGGTGTCGGGGTTCTGGGGGGCACCATCTTAAGAGAAACATTCCTTCAAGTAATATGAATTTCCATAGAACACTAAAATCTTTGTTGCAGTTTGATGTATAACCAACCATCCTAACACTATACATGTCCTATTTGTATGGTGTCATATGTGGGATACCGGTGTAAACACTGGCTGTTGCTAGTGTTAAGTGCAGACAATAATAATAATAATAACAATAATTAATAATAATAATATACTTAAGGCACCAAGAGAGAGAGATAAACACCTTAACTCATCATCTCACTTATCATCACAGACTCCCAACTGGCGCTTCCTCCTGCTGGCGGTGCTCCTGCTGGCGGTGACCCTCGCCATGGCCGCCCCAGAGCCCCTGTACGGACGCCGACGCCCGAGCACATTCCTGCAGGGATCATTCCACGGTCATCGCGGGGGTTATTATTACAACAGTCCAGAGGTGTACGGATACGGTCACGGTTATAACAGCCCAGAGTACTATGGACGTGGATACTATGGCTAAATTATCGAGATTTCTGCCGCTCTTTACTGTTGCTGTGGTGTGACGTCATACAGTAGTGTGACGTCATGCTATAGTGTGATGTCAAGCAGTAGTGTGACGTGCAGTAGCTCACTCTTATAATTTGGCAAAACAATAATTTCTTTCATTGTTCACATACTGTAACTGGTGACTTCAACAACCCTCAACATGTAAATTATTCCTTTTTATGTTACGTCACAAAGATTTTGGTCAAAATGGCGTCAAAATTCAACATTGACTTTACGTGGGTTGTCGACATCATCTGTTAAGGTAGAATAAGTTAATGCAAGTTATTATCCAGAGTCTTCCAATCTTCTGTCACTAAAATAACAACAATATTGGAATAAAATCTTGTCAAAATACAAGTCTGTGTTTTACTTAATTTATCATAAGTTGCAGTTAGATGACAATGTTGTGTGTGTGTGTGTGTGCGTGTGCGTGTGTGTGTGTGTGTGTGTGTGTGTGTGTGTGTGTGTGTGTTGTCAGACAAGAACGGCCACTGTTAAAGCCAGACGGAGAGTTATTAATCAACCTGTGTTTTTCGAGGCGATTTTGAAATGCATTCGTGACTATTTCTTCCAATAAATCTCCTCTAATTGGTATTTTAACTGATGGCTCAGCAGTTAGAAAATCGGTATCACCTGACCTCACCTGACCTCACCTAAGATCATACTAATTTCTTCCTTGCAGTAATAATCTTAAGGAATTTCTGATTGGGATTTGTTGACATATTGTGCTTTGGTTTATCAACTTATTTACGGTTTTGTTAATCGCTATTCAGAATATTGTTCATCACCAACACGTGTCATCATTAACACCTGTCATCACCAACACCTGTCATCACCAACACCTGTCATCACCAACACCTGTCATCATTAACACTTGTCATCATCAACACCTTTCATCACCAACACATGTCATCACCAACACCCGTCATTATCAACACCTGTCATCACCAACACCTGTCATCACCAACACCTGTCATCACCAACAATTGTCATCATCAACATTTGTCATCATCAATATTTGTCATCATCAACACCTGTCTGGTGTAAGCATGTGGGAGGTGAGCAACTATATAAGACTATGGTGTGGTGAGTGTATGGTCGAGGGTATGGTCAGAGGTTTGGTCGAGGATGTGGTCGGAGGTCTGTTCAGGTGTAGTCGAGGGTGTGGTCAGGTGTGGTCGGAGATATGGTCGTCATCTTTGGTGGTAATCAATAGTCCAATTTATGAGACGCCCCGAGCAGGTGGTTATGTTAAATTAACTCAGTATATATAAGAACAGGTCATTACTAGCTTCTTTAACGCCCAGGTTTATAGGATTACTGGCGCTTCGTAGGACTCCGTGTCACCAAGGGCTCTATTACTAACCCCTGGTGTTTAAACATGGGTGGACTTCCCCTCTGAACATGTACTCCTTACAGATGAGTGAGCGCCTCTGTTCGCATTTCTCTAAGTAAACATGAAACACCTAGGACGTCACATGATGTTGGGTTAGGTTGGTGCCATGGGTTAGTCAGTCAGACAGTCAGTAATCGGCCGCGGCAGAGTTAAGAGACGTATCCAAGCTCTCCTGGAGGGTCCCTGGCCCGGCAGTCTCTGTTCTTAATCAGAGAATGTATTTGTACATCTTGTATCTGGACTTGTACCTAATCCCTCCTCTATGTTACTGACTTGATTAGAAGTGAAGGCGGGAAGTGCATAGACCACCCTGATCCCTTAAGTGAACCATTCAAGTGAGAAGCCTTGGAACCGCTCGACCAGGAAAGCTACCACTTAAATCTTAAGATAGACGGCACTTACATCCATACCTTCACCTGACCGACTCTTAGGGCCCTTGCCAGAATAACTAACCACACACCTGTTATGTGACTCACACCTGTACTGCGTCACACCTGAGGATGAAGTCAAGTATCTGAGCTTCACATATATATATTTTTTCCATCATTATTAGATACTTTTATCAGTCAAGTCAAAAGGAATAAATAAGTAAAACATTAACAGACATAAGATATATATTAAATATTGTGGTTATTTAAGTAATAGAAGACTTAAATTATATTACCTATTACAGTATTAACTTTTTTTTATTTGAATTGTAAGTAAGAATTCAGTCACTCTTATCTTGCCATTTATTCTCATAAGTGTCTTGGGTAAGGGCCTTAAGTTAAAGTATAGTCAGGGTGTGTTTTGGAGGCCATCTTTAAAAATCCACCAGTTAGATGTTTATATCGTTGGTGACTCACTTAACGTACCAATCTTTGAGGATGTGTGTGTATGAATTATACATAAAGGAATCCAGGAGACTCGAGCTGTTGGTAGCCATTATATTGTAGGAGGAGACGTAGAGTTATCCGTAAATTTCAGGGCTGTTTATTCCATATCTACCATGTACCTGTCCATGTACCTGTCCATGTACCTGTCCATGTACCTGTCCATGCACCTGTCCATGTACCTGTCCATGTACCTGTCTCTGTCCATGTGTCTGTCCCTGTCCATGTACCTGTCTCTGTCCATGTGTCTGTCCTTGTCCATGTACCTGTCCCGGTCCAAAGTACTCGAGACTAATAGGACCGTAACCGTATCCAGTAGGTCCGAACACCTCTGGGCTGTTAAAATACGCCCCACCATAAACGGGTCTTCCGTGGCCGAACTGTCCCTGAAGGTAGGGGTTGGGACGAGGGGCGTGGAGGTGAGGCTGTGGTAGCGGCTCGTGGAGGTGAGGCTGTGGTAGCGGCTCGTGGAGGTGAGGATTAGGATGAACAGCTGATGTGCTAGGGTGGCTGTAAGGTTCTCCTCCCCCTTGTGTGGCGGCCGTGGCGAAGGACACTAACAGCAGCGTCGCCAGTAGGATGAAGTGCCAGTTGGAAGTCTGCGGTGTTGAGAAGTGATATAATGAGTTAAAGGGGTCTCTCTCTCTCTCTCTCTCTCTCTCTACAAGACACTCAACCTTCTACAAGATAACAGTGAGTCACAAGACAGGAGTCGCTCGTCCTATTTCTATAGCAGAATTTTGTATTAGCACCAACAAGACTGAGCGACATGACTCAGTGACCTACCACAGCAAACTGAGTTCTTACACTAACAGCCATTATCCTCAACCGTGGCCAAAATATTTCTAAAAGTCCAAGAACACTTAACTAAACTTACCATTATCTCAGGAGACGACTGTGTGCACCGGGACAACAAGAGAGAGAAGGTGTGTTGAGGCTGATCACACGCTGTTATATACGCCCCACAACCTTCCAACACCAACACCACTTTTTAGCTGGTGGTGAAGCGTGAGTGCTATTTAGTGAACGTGAAAATCTGCTGTAATGAGGCTGAGAGAAATCTGTAGACAAACTTTTTTTCTCTTTTCTCTCCTGTTCCATTTTGGATTTGGTTTCTCTTATGTGTATTTGGTGAGGGTATTATTGTCTTTGCTCGGGAGTTCAATGCCTTGGTTGAAAACTGCTGAAACTTACGTTATACAAGATACTTTTGCTTGAGGTCTTGATATTTGGTATTATCCCTCATACCGTGCAATTGTCCCTCCCTCTCCACCTCACTCCAGACCTGCAGCGCTCCTCCCCAACACGCTAGGCCTTCACCACTCCTCCCTAACCCACTCCAGCCCTACAGCCCCCTCCACTCACTTCAGCCTTACACCACTCCACCCACACCAGCCCCTCCTCCCCCCACACCAGCCCCCCCCTCCACCCACACCAGCCCACCACCCCCCTCTTTAAGAAGTAACATAAGCCTCCATTAATGCTGTTCTATTTTACCCATTGTTCATTGTGTTGTTCAAGGTGCAGGTGTGAACTACCACGAGTAGTGGTAATATTGTTCACAGTCAAGGTATATTAGTGACCAACTCTGATAGATATATGGAAAGAAAGGATCACTTGAAGATAAGGCACCCCAGCTTGTTTCACCTTAAGATTAAACATCATTAACCTAACCTAACCAAAATTAATATAACTTAACCTATCCTAAAATTACCTAATCTAACCAAAACTAATTTAATGAAACCTAATTAAACCGAACCTAACCTAATCCCCACAGGTAGCAATAAGGTGTTAATCCATTAGGTGAAATAAACTTTAGGTAGGTGGGGTTGGGGGGTGGGGGGGGGTCTAATCGTCAGGCAGCCCGAAATATTATCTCGTGTTTACTGTGCAGACTTGATCCTTGACCTTTCATATATTTGCGTTGTCTTACTAGTTCTTACAAGACAATAAATTATACTTTGATCAAGTGGTTTGTCCTTATCAGATTAACTTTAGGTTGGGTGAATGGTGGCTACGTCTTTTGTGTTAAGGTGAATGTGTTTTGTTATTCTCTCGATCATTCTGTTTTATATAAGATAAGAATGGTGTCGTTGGATAGGTGCTGAAACTGTGGCTAGGGGTCGTGATGGAGGGGTCGTGAGTGGGGGGTCGTGATTGGGGTTCGTGATGGAGGGGTCGTGATGGGGGTCGTGATGGAGGGTCGTGATGGAGGGTCGTGATGGAGGTCGTGATGGGGTCGTGATGGAGGTCGTGATGGAGGTCGTGATGGGGGTCGTGAGTGGGGGAGTCGTGATGGGGGTCGTGATGGGGGTCGTGATGGGGGGTCGTGAGTGGGGGTCGTGATGGGGGTCGTGATGGAGGGTCGTGATGGAGGGGTCGTGGAGGGGGTCGTGAGTGGGGGTCGTGGGGGTCGTGATGGAGGGGTCGTGATGGGGGTCGTGATGGGGGTCGTGATGGAGGGGTCGTGATGGGGGTCGTGATGGAGGGTCGTGATGGGGGTCGTGATGGAGGGGTCGTGATGGGGGTCGTGATGGAGGGGTCGTGATGGGGGGGTCGTGATGGGGGGTCGTGATGGGGGTATCTTTCAGTGAGTAGTCGTAACAATGGGCGTCGTGACAGTGAGAATCTACCCCAACACCACCTCCAAATCCCCATCAATCCCCATCCTGAACCAATAGGTGATGTCCCTCCCTCACCTGAACAGGGCTGACTGACGTTCAGTCTGTCTGTGACCTTTTGTTCCTAATCTTCACACCTGACCATTGTAGTTACTTAAGACTTTGAACTTCATACCTACAGGAACAATTATCTTGAAGGTGAGGTGATATTGTTCATTTTAGACGTGAGGTAGGATGGTGTGTGTGTGTGTGTGTGTGTGTAATAATAAATAATAATAAACGGTTTATTAATAGAGTTGCAGCTGGTGGCTGAAAATATACAGACTTACATTTGATTTAGACATAATGATATAATATGCATTGAATACTTTTACAGGGCTGTACAGTACATAAATCAGGAGTTGTTTATTATTTTAACAATAGATGGGATGGTGTTATTCTTATATCTATTGGTGCGGGCTCTTATGGGCGGACTGCGCGAGGTGAGCGGGGGGCTGCCGGTGGCAGGAGGTGGCGAGGGTGGTGCAGTAGTCCACGGCCAAACCTTTACAGTGCTTGGTGGTGGAGGTCACTGAGGGATGACATTTCCAGGGTGGAGAGAGCGTTGGTGTAGCCGGAGTATTCTGCGCCGAGCATGATTCTGCAGGCCCTTTTCTGTACCTTCTCTAGCTGACGTTGTTGGGTGGAGTTGAGAGAAGACGACCAGGCTGGTGACGCATACGTTAGTTTGGGGGTGTGTGTGTGTGTGTGTGTGCTAGTGGCATTTTACTCTTAGTTAATAAGTCGATAGATATGCATGGCCCTGGTATTTAGGATAAACTAAAACAGGAAAGCGAAAAATACCACAAAAAATGGAGCGTGGCGTATTGCAAAGTTTATTAAAAGGGGAGAAGTTTAGTTTGGTGGAGGTGAGGAGAGGGGAGGGGAGGGGAGGGGAGGGGCGTAATTTGTGTCGGGGGTCAGAGCAGGGAGGAAGGGGGTAATGAGAAAGGGAAATAGAGTAACTACAAAATCTCTGTAAAATACACAAATACTGTATCTCAGGTGTCATGATTTATCGATCTATTTGTACAACGTGAGCGACTGTCCCAAACACGTTACCAAACCAAAACAAACAGACGAGGAACAGCTGAAGGAAAATCGAGGAATAAATTTTGCTGATATCACTGAAATCAGAGAACAGCCGCCGGGTTACCTTCACATATAAGGTATTCCCGCCCGCCCGTTACCTGCCCTACCTGATGAAAAAAGGGTTTTCTCAATGTTACTACCGCGTTTTCTGGCGTATATAACCGCTTGTGACCAGCCTTTACGCATCAGTCCCCTTCAGCTGCTTTCCTGCAAGCACACCATCACCTTCTGAGATAATGGTAAGTCTTGTGGCGTTGTTGTTGGTGGTCTTAAACTACTGGATAGGGGTTTGGTACACGAAGAGAGTTTAGTGGTACATGGAGTCATTGATAGTGTAACTGTGTCATATACTGAGTCATATACTGAGTTATATACTGAGTCATATACTGAGTCATATACTGAGTCATATACTGAGTCATAAACTGAGTCATATACTGAGTCATATACTGAGTCATATACTGAGTCATATACTGAGTCATATACCGTGTAATATACTGAGTCATTGCATTTTTATTTCTGGGATTTTTTTTCTTAATTCCTTGATGACACAATTACCTTTTGAGATTTGATGATCATTATTTTTTATATGATTTTCTTAATGCTTGAAGGTCATGGGTGTTAGGAGAGAGAGAGAGAGAGAGAGAGAGAGAGAGAGAGAGAGAGAGAGAGAGAGAGAGAGAGAGATTCATTATCTCAATTCTTCCCTCATCACAGACACCTTGTTCACGCTTCATCCTGCTGGCGACGCTGGTGGTGGTGGTGGTTGTGTCCCTCGCTACGGCGGCCCCTGAGCCAGGCTTCGTACGAGGTTACAGCCGGGGTTACAGCCGCCCTGCTGTAGCTGTCGTTCAACCTTATCATCGACCCAACCCTTACCTCCAGGGCCAGTTCATCCGAGGATCACCTGGTGGGGTATTCTTTAACAGCCCAGAGGTGTTCGGAACAGGTGACTTCAGTCTGGAGTTTGGACATGGAGGACATAGGCGTGTTTATGGATAGAGATCTACTGTCATGTCTCCTGTTGGGATCATTCTTCTTCCCTCCCTGCAGCCCAAGTCGTGCAGGGGAATATTTTGAGCCATCTTTTTAAATTTTAACCTTGTATGACCCAAATAAACAGTGTATACTTAATAAATGTTTTTAATTCTTTCTCAACTTATGTGATTTATTGAATTATTCCTATAAGGTATTGAGGTATTGTTATATTAAGGTTTATTCTGGATCAAGGCTTCACCCTGTGTCCTCATGTTTCCTCGATGCTAAAGTGAACAGGATGGTGGCGCTGTTACATGCATAGGAAACTCGCCAGTTCCCTTCACTACTACGTTTACAGGGGCTCGTCATATATACATTCCTCAAATCACTACATTGAGATAATTATTTTAATATTCTTTCACTTTGATTCCATAGTATGTTTACTATTGCGAATTTCCCTTTGTCGATTATTAACAAACACAAGGCTGAGACACTGCACAAAACTTGACGAACCTCTGTTAACTCACTACTGAAGGTGACTATACATAACGTCTTGGTGTACAGTCACAACAAAACTCCCTTGACACATTTCTGAGATTCCCAAATTGCTCGTCCCTCCATAGATATTTTTAGTAGCGTTGTATCTACTAAACTGTGGTAAAAATATCACTAAATAGTTATATTACCTGTTCCTGCCACCTAGTGTTATATGATAATAGTAGACACTTAAAACCTGACTGTCACCTGTTATAACTTGACTGTTACCTAATACAAAGTGACTGTTACCTGTTAGAACGTGACTCTCACCTGTTACAACCTGTCACCTGTTACAACCTTGTACAACCTAACATGATAACTGTATGGACAAATTTCTTATTATTCTGTGATTCATATATAGCAGTGAGTGTGCGACGCCTGATAATATAGATCCCTGTGTATGATAAATCCAGTTTTACCAAAGAAAAACCCATTATTCTTACACATTCCTAAAGGATCATTTTCTTCCGTTAATATATCTCGCTACTGTATGTTTGTGTTTTGTTTACATGTGTTGTACGGTTGCAATATGTATCTTACTGTATTAGACTCGCCCTCTACAGCAGTTTTGTTTTTATTAAGAATGTCCCGTACTGCCCTCGGTGTGTCCCGCCCCACAGTGTGCCCCTCCCCACAGTGTGTCCCACCCTTGGTGTGTTCCGCCCCACAGTGTGCTCCATCCCACAGTGTACCCCGCCCCATACTGTACCCCGCCCCACCTCCCACCTGGTGGACACAGTAAGTTTACAAGTTTTACTGGCGGCAAAAACTGGTCATTGGTTTATAAGAACTATGATCAAAGATGGGGAGCGGCTTCACAAAGGCACTTCAGAGATAAATCCCTATTGAGGAAGAATTTAGCCGATTTACTTTATCTACGACTCAAAGATGAATTTCAAAGTAGAAAAAGTAAAATTTTCTAATAACTGTTAATTCCCGGGAGAACGTATCCAGTGGCTTCGATGCAGAGAAAGATTACCAAGGTTAATAATTAAACTAGTATTTATAAACGAAACTACCTGAACCAAAAACACGTACAAAGTCTCACGTATACAAGTACAGGTTCAGGTACAATACAAGTTTTTATCATGTGGTGGTAGTCTGATTAATGAGTGGGGTGTATGACGGAGCTACTTCAAGACATTAGTGCAGTGAAGAAAAACGCCGAGGTGATCTAGTGCAATAAGGCCATCGTGTGTTTTAGTTCTTTCATTTTAATTAATTACCTTGAGTTTTAGGAAATTGGAATTGTTAGTGTATGTGTATGTGTGTGTGTGGGTGTGTGTGTGTGTGTGTGTGTGTGTTTGTGTATGTAACAGGGTGGTTATACACGTGGTTCCTACCTTGCTGTACCCGTGGCCGTTGTTGTACACACGGGGATAACCCTGGTACACGTCCTGGGTGGTTAGGTCCGTATCTTACGACGTACTGTACATGTTCAGCTCTCAGTAATGACGCACTGGCTAATATATGTTCGGTTTTTCACATTGTATGAGTCTGTTATTAACTGGGGTATATTAATATATTGCTATATATAAATTAGTCTTATATCCAGGAGTTTATATCATAATCCATCATATAAATCAGCCCCTTATACTGCCAGGGATAAAGTCAGTATATATAACAGGCCCTTATATGTATATGTGTGTATTTGATGTATGTATATATGCATCTGAAGGCTCATGCGTCCATACATGTGTATATATGTGTTTACACGTGAATGTTAAGTATATGTGTATGTATTCCGTGTATAATATGTGTTTGGTGAAGACGCTCCGACAAGGACGTGATAAAGTACGAGATATATTGTTTTATCCAGTTATTTTTATTATTATGGCCACAATGTTTTATATTAAGTGTTAAAGAGAACAAATAATAAAAGGTTTACAAACAAAACATCAACACAGAAGACACAATGTAGTTAAAGAAGGTTACTCTTGGTCTTACTTGAAGCTGACATTTTGTTGGTTAACATGATGAGCCCTAAATCGTGTCAACAGAGCGAGTAGTTCTATGTTATGGTGGTGGTGGTGGTGGTGGCAGAAGTTAGGTGTCTGCTGCCGTCTGCTGTAGATGGTGGTGGCAGATGCAACACTTGCCAAAATATACAGAGTCGATGACCACTTCTCCAGCCAGCCTCCTTCCTCACCATCACCACCCACAACAGCAACTACTTAGTCTCTATCCTGTAGAAGGATGACCCTGAGCCGCATGGTTCTGGTGACCTACAGGTGCATAGGGCTGGTGGACTCCAGGGTGAGTACTACCATGGCCTGGATGGCCTGGATGGCCTGGATGGCCTGGATGACCTGGAAAGAACTCGAAGCTCTGATGTCCTTCATTAGTCCAAATTCCAAATTCATTGCTCACTTTTGGTCGTCCATATGGGCCTGCAACAACGGAACCAGGTCCAACCGGGTTAAGGTAGGGGTCGTTTAGGAGAGGATTTGGTCGTGGGTGTGTAACAACTCCCTGGGGCAGCCCTTCAACTTTAGCCTGGTCGAGGGATACCACAATGAGGAGTAGCATCAGCGCCTTCCCCAGCAAGTTCCTGGAAGTGGACATCTGTGAGGAGAAACAAAGTACAGGTGTTACTCTTTTATGATGACTGTGAGGTAGAAAAACACAGGAATTACCCATTAAACGTCTCTCTGTTTACCTCTGTAAAGCCGTTTTATGCCAGCAAATACATAAGGAGAGGCTGGAGTACTCACTGTCAACACGTAGACACGGAGGAGGGAGACAAGTGCTTCTGTCGAGCTCTGGACAGTTTGTGTGGTGGGATGTGTGAGGCTCTTCTTATATATATCGTGTGTGTGTGTGGGCAGAGGGCCATCACAGCCACCACCCCCTCCACCACCATCACCTCCACTACCACCACCATCACCGCCACCCTCACTACACACCACCACCCCTTCCACCAACACCACCCCCACCACCACCTCCACTACCACTACCACCTCAACCACTACAACTACCACAACTGATAAAACCAACACGACCACCACCACTAAGGGAAAACTGATTTCTGGGCGAGGTTGTATCCTAGTCTGTGATTAGGTGATGCTTACATTAACTCTCTCTCTCTCTCTCTCTCTCTCTCTCTCTCTCTCTCTCTCTCTCTCTCCTCTCTCTCTCTCTCTCTCTCTCTCTTCTGTATCTCTCTCTCTCTCTCTCTCTCCTCTTCTGTGTCTCTCCTCTCTATATTCCTCTCTCTTTTCTCTCTCTCTAGCCCCTCTCTCTCTAACCATCTTCTCAGCCTCCTCTCTCCTCCCTATCTCTCCTCCTCTCTCTGCCTCTAGCCCCTCTCCTCCCTCTCTGCTCCCACCTCTCTTCCCCTCCTCCCTATCCCCCTCTCTATCCCTCCTCTCTATCCCCCCATCCCCCTCTCTCTCATCCTCCTCTCTATCCCCTCCCCCATCCCTCTCTCTATCCCCCCTCCTCCCTCCTCTCATCCTCTCCTCTCCCCTCCTCTCTATCCCTCCTCTCTCTCTATCCTCCTCTCTGTCTCCTCTCTCTCCCTCTCTCTCTGTATCCATCCTCTATATCCTCCTCTCTCTCCCTCCTCTCTTCCTCTCCTCTCTCCATCTCTATCCCTCGTTCCCCTCTCTCTCTCTATCCCTCACTCTCTCTCTGTCCCTCCTCTCTCTCCTCTATCCTCCTCTCTCTCTGTCCCTCCTCTCTCTCTATCCCCATCCTGTCTATCTGTCCTCTCTATCCCTCCTCTCTCTCTCTCTCTCCTGCTCCTCTATCCCTCCTCTCCCTCTGTCTCTATCTCTCTATCCCTCCTCTCTCTCTATCCCTCCTCTCTCTCTCCTCTCTATCCCTCCTCTCTCTCTATCCCTCTCTCTATCTCCTCTCTCTCTATCCTCCCTCTCTCCCTATCCCCTTTCTATCCCCCTGTCTCTATCCTCCTCTGTCTCCACCTCTCTCTCCTCCTCTCTCTCTGTCCCCACCTCTCTATCCCTCCTCTCTCTCTCCCTCTCTCTCCTCCATCCCTCTCTCCTCACTCTCTATCCTGCTCTCTCCCCATCCCTCCTCTCTCTCCTCCCTCCTCTCTCTCTGCTCCCATCCCTCCTCTCCCCTCTCTGTCCCCCTCCTCTCTATCCCCCCCATCTCACCTCTATCCCTCCTCCCTCATCCCCCTCTCTATCCACCTCTCTATCCCTCTCTCTGTCTCTCTCTCCTCCTCCCCTCTCCTCTTCCTCCTCTCCTCCTCCTCTCTCTCTCCCTCCTCTCTCTCCATCCCTCTTCTCTCTCTATCCTTCGCGCATTACTGATACTCTCGCCTGAGAGGCCCTGACCCTTCTTCTGGTGGTCCAGCACACAAGTATGGTGTGTGTGTGTGTGTGTGTGTGTGTGTGTGTGTGTGTGTGTGTGTGTGTGTGTGTGTGTGTGTGTGTACAAATAATAATAATAAAAATGGTTTATTGAGAAAGTTCTGCAGCCCGAAGGCTGAAAATATACATTGGACATAAATGAATTATTACATACATTGGTGGTTTAACAAAAGCCTTCATTAGAGAAAGGTAAGGAACATACAGTGAACATACAGATTAATGTATACAGTGGAGGTCACGTAGATCTTGTGCGCTGAGGTATTGAACAGCAGACACGTAGTGTAGTAAATCCCTCACAGATGG